CATTACTGTGCTGCTTAAATGCATAATCCCACAGCTGCACCAAACAGGTTAACAGTTTATGTTCACAGCTATAAGCCATAATCTGTTAAAATATAATCTATAATCACTTGTACACAGCTCTACCAAATGGGGCCATAGTCATTGCATCCTAGGAGGTTGGCGTCATCTGTTCTCGAGCACTGTAGCAAGGACGCAACGATTTTAAGGAAAGTGCGTCCAACATACGCTTTGACTTTCCTTTATTGCTGCATTTCGATTCTTCAATAACTTATATGTTTTATTTATTTAAATTAATTTACAATGTGTGTTCTTGTTCTAGTTTTATACTTGAACAAGAAATTTCTTTTCTTACTTAGTTTTTTGAAATAATTCTTTTCTGGGTTTCAAAAATAATTTACATTCTGAAATTATTTTTAGAATTTTATTAGTCGTTATTTTATTTTTAAATACACACACTTCGCTACTTTAATAAATAGTTTCTTATAGAAGTTAACAAGACTTATGTTAAATAATTGGATAAATTACACTAACCTCTCTTAGGATTTTAAAAAAAAAATAATACAGTAAACGTCATGATTTCATCATAATTTTGCTAACTTTCCTTTTAATAGGTTAATAGACCAAAATAAAATACAAAAATAAATAACATAAAGTATACATTATGAATTTTTTTTAAAATTTTTTATCCAGATAACTAGTAAATTATTCATGAAAAAAATTAAATGTTATATAAATTAAAATCTCAAAAAAATTTAATATAATTATATCAAAATTATGAAATTTATTATATTTTTTAAAGTCTCAATGGAAAACAGTATAATTTCCTCTAAAAAATTTATATATAAATATACAGATACATACATAGAAGGCGAGCATATATATATATATATATATATTTTTAATTAGAGTAATGCTATGTGTATTAATTGATATATTAATTAGTGCACTAATTGATGATATGACATAATTTAAATTTTTTTTAATATTTATAATGTGAATAATAAATAAAATTAATAATAATATTATAATTAATATTAATACACTAATTAATACATGTTGCACCACTCTATAACATTAGTCTTTGAGAATAAAGAGGTTAAAAAGGTTATGAAATCAACGAAAATTAATTTTTAGATAGGTGAAAAGGTTATTGTGTTTTTAAAAGTTATTGTCCTTTTCTTGAGTACAAGTGACATTTATTAACAGGACGTTCCCAACAATATATATATCTCGAGTACAAGTGACATTTATTAGCAGGACGTTTCCAACAATATATATATCTATTGTGGGGATATATTTTTTGAGCACCAACACGTGGTAAGGTGGCGCCGACGTGTCAGTCGAGGTGCCACGTGTCCTGGTCATGACGCCGAGGTGATCTCGACAAGGCCGAGGTTATCTCCGAAGATATCGGAATCTGAGATAAGTGGATAAGGGACAAGAGTCCTAGAATGAAAAGGGAACTCAACCTGGATGAGGGACAAGAGTCCTAAAATGAGAGAAAATTTCAGTTTGTATTAAGATAAGACTCTTAGAGAGTTTATCATAATCTTACTGGGAGTCCAAGATTAGCAGTAATCCTGAGTCCATAGAAGTTAGGTTTCTATTGGGACTAGGTTTATGTTGGCTATAAAAGAGAGGCACCCCTATGGGTCTAAGGTATATCATTAATATTTTCAAAAAATATACTATCAAAAAATAATTTTAAAAAATTAATATTTTTAAAATGTAATAATTATACCAATAAAAAAAATTAAATTCCTCAAAAGAACTATTATTTTAAGACGAGGGGGTATTATACAATATTAAAGCATTTTTGTCCCCGTCTAACAATATTTGTCATTAAATTTGTATTGGTTACATATCTTTTATGAAAATATGTTATAAGGGGGCTAGGTTGGAGAGAAGCAATTAGATGGTCCAATTTCCTTTGTTTTATGGGCCTTATCTTGATAATTCAAAATATTTATTTTCTAGGCTTTTTAAAAATAAAAAATAAAAAGTATACATGTCAAAAATCAATTTTTGGATAGTGATAGTCACTTAATCAGATCTCATTTGCTTGAAAAGAAATAGATAGATTATTTTTAAAATTATGTTGTTTGTTAATTATTTTTAGATGATTGTCCAGATTGGAGAAGATCTAGTTCTATAGTATGTATAACTAATATGAATTTTGTTAATTAATATTTTTTAAATCCTCAGATTCATATTAAGACGTCGGATATGAATTGTATAAAGAGAATTTCTTTAGTAATTTTAACACTTTTGGATTTTACTTAACTAAATAGACCAGAAAGGTCAAATATATATATATATATATATAATTGAAAAAAAGCATAGAAATGACAAAAAAAAAATAATAAGAAGAAACTACAAATGTTTGATTTTTTGGACTTTTTTTTTTATTGAACTCTCTTTTGGATTTTTTTAATTTTTTTGTTATAATTTTTAGATTTATTACACAAAAGGATTTAGAAAAATTAAATTTTGATATAATTTTAAAAAAGGACCATTAAAAATAATTTTTTTTGAAAAAAAAAATTGAATGACAAGCTTGTGGCTATGTTTTCTGTGGAACAAATGGGGTAATGCCATAGCTTGCACTATATAAATGATAGGTAGTATCTCAAATTTGGCATACCTTGATATTAGGCTTAACCTAGTTATTTTAATTATAATTTTTAAAAAGTTTTAAATTTCAAACTTGCCAATTTAATCCAATATATACGAGTTATTAATTTTTTGATTTTTGTCTTGAGTAGATATTAAATTGTTTAGATTACTTATTTGTAATTTGAATTTAAAACGTTAACAAAATTCAATGATGAAGTAACTATGATTTTTAATAAATGTTTTAATTAAAATCCCATAAAGAGGTGTGTGGGTGTGTTTGGGGACTTGGATTTTGGCTAAAATAGTCAATAAAAAAGATTAAAATTTAATTGCAAAATAGTCAATCAATTACTTCTTCTTTTTTTTTCCTAACAACCATCTATTCAATTACAAAAAAAAATCACAAATCATCTAAAACGTAGCTTCTTCTTCTTCTTTTTTTATATCATAAATAGTCAAAAAATCAACAAAAATAATTAAATTTCCAAACGAGACCTACATATATTTTTTCTTGTCTTATATATATATATATATATATATATATGTATATATATTTTTTCTACTTTATTTTATAATTAAAATAATACAAAATTATAATTAATATTTTATAAATGAGCAGATTGGGTTGGATTGAGTTAGCTCCGTATTTTAAATTCAGCTTGACTATTAAATGAACACAAAATCTCTATCCAATCAGACTTTATGGACAAACCAATTTTTTTAAAGGAGATTTATTCATAAATCTCTTTTCACCTACATATATTCAATTTATCCAAATTATTTTTTTATGTTTCAACAAATTCTATAAGTGACATAATTACCAAAATATCTCTAATAATAATAAGGTAAAGTACGTATTTGTTGGCTGCATATTTTGTACAAGCCAGTTACAATTTGACGCGTGGCAAAGTAAGGGTAATATGGGAAGACCATTCATGTAACGCCCTCAAAATAATACATAAAACCCATCACTTTAAACATGCATTGATATAAAAGAAACCAACCATTTCTATTCATTAGAGTAATTTTGAAATTAATTACTCTAATAATTTCTTTTACATTACTGTGTTTACAAACTAACTATAAAAAATAGATTTGTATATTATCATTTTTCATTTTTCATTTTTGTTAATACAAATAATATTTTTAATTGATTAGAAAAAATTATAAAAAAAATACTAAGAGTTTGAATCTGGTAACAAAATTATAATTAAGTGAAATGATGACTTATCTTAGTGTAAATTGAAAATTTTTACTCACCAAAACATTGCATAAATAATATCAGATAATATTTTGAAATTGTTTTATAATTTTCTCACTAAACCATTAAAATATAGCCTTTTATTTTTTTGAGAAAATATAATAATACACCGACTTACACATCCAAACAAACATTCATGGTATGTGAGGCCTACACGTGACGGGTAAGTGAGTATAATATTTTTCTTAGATGAAAAATTCTATAATATCAATGTATTATATAATAAAAAAAATTTAAAAATATTATTGACAAGTGTCTTGGCCACGAGAAAAAGATAGAAGAATACTTTTTATTATCTACTTTTAAGATAATTTTCACTCTAATTCTAATACTAAATACAATAATGCTTGATAGTCCGAATTTTCATGGTCTGAATAGTTTGAATGTCTCAAAACGACATTGTTTTGAGGGTAAAACGACATCGTTTTGATACATTTGAGTCATTCGGACTACACAAATTCGAACTACCAAGTATTTTTCTACTAAATAATGTCCCAAAAACACTTTTGTGTAATAATCAATTAATAATTATTAATAATTGATTCTACAGGAAATTATCATTCAGGAATATTACATATTGATGACAGTTTATAATTTTAATTATTAATATTTATTATTTTTTTATAAATATTATTTCTGACTACCATGTCTGTGTGATTCCTCCCTTATTCTATTTGCAAATATTAAATTGTGATGAATTGTACCTAAAATCCAAACTTTGAATCTCATTTTGAAATTTTGGATTTTGTTGAAAAGAAAGGTATCTTATTTTTCATTAAATGACAAGACGGTGTGGAATATTAGCTATGGTAGGACCTACGTATGTCATACATTACATTAGGCCATGCCAATTTCTTACACCGATCAATATTTATTTTGGTGATATATCATATGTTTCGAGATTTTATTTTTATTTATTTTGAAAAGACTAAATAAATTCACAACCTAAATACATAGTTTATTCCTAATGCTACCTCTTACATAAATTTAACCCAATTTATGAGAGATGAGAATTATAAATTCATCATATAACATATAAATGATTGAGTCCGACTCTCTTCCAATCTTAATAAAATTGGAGATTTTTCAATCCTATCTAAAAATGCACAACATGATTACTACCTTTGAAAAATACCCTCTCAACTGTCCCCCCAAACATTTGTCCCACAAAACCATAAACCATGACAACCGCCACCATTGCCAAAATAACAATAATTGTTGCCACTGTTACCATGTTACTGGCGATGGTGGCAGCACAGGCACCCGCGGCCGCACCAGAGCTGGCCGCAGGGGCCCCGGGAGGAGAGACAATTGGAGCGGGGGCTCCGGGGCCAGGGGGGGCGATGGATTGCATGACCAACCTGTTGAACATGTCGGATTGCTTAACGTATGTGGAGGCTGGAAGCAATTTGACGAAGCCTGACAAGGCGTGTTGTCCGGAGCTGGCGGGGCTGGTGGAAAGCAATCCATTATGTCTATGTCAACTGCTGGCAAACACAAGTATTACAGGGATACAGATAGAGCTCAACAAGGCTCTCAATCTTCCTACTGTTTGTGCTGTTCAGACTCCTCCTATTAGCACCTGCGCAGGTTCTCTCTTCTCTTCTCTTCTCTTTCTCCATCCTCTCTCCCTTTTCCCTCCTTTCCTTCAAGTTTTTGGTGTATTTTTTTTTTTTTGTATTTTTGTTGAGCAATGTTATTTAGACTCATTTTTTAAATTTAATCATATGACTCTCTATCATATTTTTTTTGAAATTAATTACTCTAATAATTTCTTTTACATTACTGTGTTTACAAACTAACTATAAAAAATAGATTTGTATATTATCATTTTTCATTTTTGTTAATACAAATAATATTTTTAATTGATTAGAAAAAATTATAAGAAAATACCAAGAGTTTGAATCTAGTAACAAAATTATAATTAAGTGAAATGATGACTTATCTTGGTGTGAATTGAAAATTTTCATTTATCAAAAACACTACATAAATAATATCAGATAATATTTTGAAATTGTTTTATAATTTTCTCACTAAACCATTAAAATATAGCCTTTTATTTTTTTGAGAAAATATAATAATACACCGACTTACACATCCAAACAAACATTCATGGTATGTGAGGCCTACACGTGACGGGTAAGTGAGTATAATATTTTTCCTAGATGAAAAATTCTATATTATCAATGTAATATACAATAATAAAATTTTTAAAATATTATTAACAAGTGTCTTGCCCACGAGAAAAAGATAGAAGAATACCTTTTATTATCTACTTTTAAGATAATTTTCACTCTAATTCTAATACTAAATACAATAATGCTTGATAGTCCGAATTTTCATGGTCTGAATAGTTTGAATGTCTCAAAACGACATTGTTTTGAGGGTAAAACGACATCGTTTTGATACATTTGAGTCATTCGGACTACACAAATTCGAACTACCAAGTATTTTTCTACTAAATAATGTCCCAAAAACACTTTTGTGTAATAATCAATTAATAATTATTAATAATTGATTCTGCAGGAAATTATCATTCAGGAATATTACATATTGATGACAGTTTATAATTTCAATTATTAATATTTATTACTTTTTTATAAATATTATTTCTGACTACCATATCTGTGTAATTCCTCCCTTATTCTATTTTACAAATATTAAATAGTAAATGTTTGGTAACTCAAAATTTTGTGGTTCAAATAGTTTAAATCTTTCAAAACGACGTCGTTTTACACTCAAAATCTGTCAAAACGACGTCGTTTTGAGTGATTTAAGCCATTTGAGTCATAAAATTTTGAACTATCTAACATTGTTGATATTAAATTGTGATGAATTGTACCTAAAATCCAAACTTTGAATCTCATTTTGAAATTTTGGATTTTGTTGAAAAGAAAGGTATCTTATTTTTCATTAAATGACAAGACGGTGTGGAATATTAGCTATGGTAGGACCTACGTATGTCATACATTACATTAGGCCATGCCAATTTCTTACACCGATCAATATTTATTTTGGTGATATATCATATGTTTCGAGATTTTATTTTTATTTATTTTGAAAAGACTAAATAAATTCACAACCTAAATACATAGTTTATTCCTAATGCTACCTCTTACATAAATTTAACCCAATTTATGAGAGATGAGAATTATAAATTCATCATATAACATATAAATGATTGAGTCCGACTCTCTTCCAATCTTAATAAAATTGGAGATTTTTCAATCCTATCTAAAAATGCACAACATGATTACTAATACATCTTGTGATCGAGATTTTACTAATCAACCAACCCTTTTTTTTAATCTAACTTAAACAATCGAACCCACAATTTTGTTATTGACACCCGCCTACAATATATTATCCTTGTTGCAACTTCCGCCACCAGAAAAAATTCTTGACAGCCTGATTACAAACACATTATTTTTTACCGCTCTAATATTATTCAAATCATGAAGAACCATCCATACGTAGTAAATGATTCAAAACTCAAAAATAATAATAAAATCAGGCTTTGTCCTCAACTTTCACTGTTTATATACTAGTATTGTGTATGTCTAAGCAAGCAAAAACCCATCAACAATGTTAGAGTTTGCAAACCCCAAATTGAAATGTAGTATGGTGAAAACCATGAATTCATCTTGCCTATATGTCCTAGAGGGCGGACAAGTCTTCTGATCATGGCCTATCCAATTGCTCTGCACATCTCCGATGGAAAATGTTCTCCAACCTTGAACTCGTAAATGCAAAGATTTCTGCCAGCAGACACTGCATTGATGACGACGATGAGTTTGTAGTTGGTGGATTAGATTGAAAACAAAAGGGGTTACTTCATTTGTTCAAATCTTGATCGTTGGATGTGTGTAGAATTATTAGATGAATTCTTTGTAAAATTGGAGAGGAGTCCAACTCGAAATGATTGAAGTTGTGGTTGCTTTTAAAGTTATTGTTACTAAAAAAATTTCTGCACTATATTTTTGCAGCTGTTGGATATCCTGTGCCTGGTCCTATGTCAAGTGAAGCGCCTGGTAATTCGTCAACCAAACCTTCCATCTTTCTCTCACCGTTTTTTCAGAAAACAACTTCATTCTTTGAAGAAACCCTCTTGAGTAATAAAGTGTGCCCATATCTTAATGGAATTGGCTTCTTTCTCAGAGAGAGATCCGATTCTGTCTAGTGGGCTCATTCTGTCACAAGTCTCGCACTGACGATTCGAGTTATTAACCTTGTAAGCCCTTATGTGTAGATCATCTATAAAATGTAATAGTGATCCCAAAACATGTAGACAATTCCAATCACATTCAGCACATCACAAGCTAGTTTGTGTTGTTCTTTTTTTTTCTTCGTGAACAGGAGCGGGGGCTCCAGGGCCGGGGGGGGTGATGGATTGCAGGACCAACCTGTTGAACATGTCAGATTGCTTAACGTATGTGGAGGCTGGAAGCAATTTGACGAAGCCTGACAAGGCGTGTTGTCCGGAGCTGGCGGGGCTGGTGGAAAGCAACCCATTATGTCTGTGTCAACTGCTGGGAAACACAAGTGCTATAGGGATACAGATAGAGCTCAACAAGGCTCTCAATCTTCCTACTGTTTGTGCTGTTGAGACTCCTCCTATTAGCACCTGTGCAGGTTCTCTATTCTCTTCTCTTTCTTCATCCTCTCTCATTTTTCCCTCCTTTCCTTCAAGCAAAGATTCTAGAGTGATTTTTTCCTAAAGTTTCCTAGAGTGTTACATTGTGTGGTTGAGATTTACTGGCAAGTCACATCAATTTTTCTGATGTGACTTGCCAGTAAATCTCAACCACACAATGTAGTACTTTAGAAAACTTTAAGAAAATTTCACTCTAGAGGATCCTTGGTGCTTTCCTTCAAGTTTTTGGTGTATTTTTTTTGTATTTTTGTTGAGCAATGTTATTCATGCCTCAACATTAGACTCATTTTTTAAATTTAATCATGTGGCTTTCTTCGTCCAACTTTTTTCTAAAAGTCTTATGAATTGTTTGAAATGTCCTAAATAAGTGTACTTTTAAAATTTTTAAACTAAAAAATGGAGGAAAAAAAATATGATTGCTTGGATTCACTTATTGACTTTTTATGAAAAATGTGTACTGAAAAATTATATAAATTAGTGTATAGGAGAAGTTTGTCCGTTGTAGGTTGTACGGTAGGCAGCAAGGTTTGCAGAGAGTAGTATAGGAGATGCTTGCCTCTCTTTCGGGTATTGAATTGGATGGTGCTGTTCGACTCGTAGGGGTTCACCACGGGTCCCGTTTTGCTAATCGGAATCGTTCAATGTGTAGAACTCGTCAAGTATGATATGTTTGTAAAAAATACGTTAATCGAATATCAATAGCTATCTGATCGGATTAATTTTTTTGTTAACCGTTAACTATGACACCATCTATTTTTTTTTTATACAAAACTGATTTGATCATATAGTTGGAGACATTTGATCAACATGATTTTTTATAAGTATATAGTACTCGACGAGTTATACATATTGAACGGTTCAGATTATCAAAACGGGACCCGTGATGGCCCCCACAGGCCGAACTACAGCATTTGGGGTTAATTTTTTTGTGCACCCCGCGTTGTAAATTTGTACCACTGACCATCACTTTAATATGTATAGTTTGTACTTGGCGCCTATGTATGCTTTTACTTGGCTCCTATGTAATTTGTTTTTTAAATATATATATTTTTTTGATAAATAGTAATAACATTTTACTGTTTTTAGTAACTTTTTGTCTTTTTCAGTGTATTCGAAACAGGCCGAATTAATTATCTCTTTTACATGTGTCTAAAAAGTAACTATAAAAAATAGATTTGTATATTATCATTTTTCATTTTTGTTAATACATCTAAGTATATGCTCTTTTTAATTGATTAGAAAAAATTATAAAAAAAATACTAAGAGTTTGAATCTGGTAACAAAATTATAATTAAGTGAAATGATGACTTATCTTAGTGTAAATTGAAAATTTTTACTCATCAAAAACATTGCATAAATAATATCAGATAATATTTTGAAATTGTTTTATAATTTTCTCACTAAACCATTAAAATATTGCCTTTTATTTTTTTGGGAAAATATAAAAATACACCTATTTACACATCTAAACAAACATTCGTGGTATGTGAGGCCTACACATGACGGGTAAGTGAATATAATATTTTTCATAGATGAAAAATTCTATATTATCAATGTAATATACAATAATAAAATTTTAAAAATATTATTAACAAGTGTCTTGGCCATGAGAAAAAGATAGAAGAATACTTGTTATTATCTACTTTTAAGATAATTTTCACTCTAATTCTAATACTAAATACAGCAATGCTTGGTAGTTTGAATTTGTGTGGTTCGAATGGCTCGAATATCTCAAAAATAATGTCGTTTTGAGGGTAAAACGACGTCATTTGATACATTCGAATCATTTGGGCCACACAAATTTGAGTTACTAAGCATTTTTCTACTAAATAATGTCCCAAAAACACTTTTGTGTAATAATCAATTAATAATTATTAATAATTGATTCTACGGGAAATTATCATTCAGGAATATTACATATTGATGACAGTTTATAATTTTAATTATTAATATTTATTATTTTTTTATAAATATTATTTCTGACTACCATGTCTGTGTGATTCCTCCCTTATTCTATTTGCAAATATTAAATTGTGATGAATTGTACCTAAAATCCAAACTTTGGATCTCATTTTGAAATTTTGGGTTTTGTGGAAAAAGAAAGATATCTTATTTTTCATTAAATGACAAGACGGTGTGGAATATTAACTATGGTGGGACCTATGTATGTTATGCATTACATTAGCCTATTCCAATTTCTTACACTAATCAATATTTATTTTGGTGATATATCATACGTTTTGAGATTTTATTTTTATTTATTTTGAAAAGTCTAAATAAACTCACAACCTAAATATATAGTTTATTTCTAATGTTACCTCTTACATAAATTTAACCCAATTTATGAGAGTTGAGAATTATAAATTTATCATATATCATTTAAATGATTGAGTCTGACTCTCTTCCAATCGTAATAAAATTAGAAATTTTTCAATCTTATCTAAAAATGCATAACATGGTTACTAATACATCTTGGGATCAGAGATTTTACTAGTCAACCAACCCTTTTTCGAACTTGACTAAACCAATCAAACCCACAATTTTGTCATTGGCACCGGCCTACAATATATTATCGTTGTTGCAACTTCTGCAACCAGAAAAATCTTGAGTCTGATTACAAACCTATCATTTTTTACCGCTCTAATATTACTCAAATCTTGAAGAACCAACCATACGTAGTAAATGATTCAAAACTCAAAAATAACAATAAAATCTGGCTTCGTCCTCAACTTTCACTGTTCATATACTTGTATGTATGTCTAAGCAAGCAAAAACCCATCAACAATGTTACAGTTTGCAAACCCCAAATTGAAATGTAGTATGGTGAAAATCATAAATTCATCTTGGCTATAAGTCCTAGAGAGTGGACAAGTCTTCTGATCATGGCCTATCCAATTGCTCTGCTCATCTCCGACTTTCAGCTCGTAAATGCGAAGATTGTGGCCTGCAGGACATTGCAACGACGATGACGCTGAGTTTGCAGTTGGTGGGTTAGATTGAAAACAAAAGGGGTTACTTCATCTGTTCAAATCTTGATCGTTGGATGTGTGTAGAATTATTAGATGAATTCTTCGTTAAATTGAAGAGGAGCCCAACTCGAAATGATTGAAGTTGTGGTTGCTTTTAAAGTTATTGTTACTAAATTTTTTTTCTGCACTATATTTTTGCAGATGTTGGATATCCTGTGCCTGGTCCTATGTCAAGTGAAGCGCCTGGTAATTCGTCAACCAAACCTTCCATCTTTCTCTCACCATTTTTTCAAAAAAACAACTTCATTCTATGAAGAAACCCTTTTGAGTAGTAAAGTGTGCCCATAACTTAATGAAATTGGCTTCTCTCTCAGAGAGAGGTCCGATTCTGTCTAGTTGTGCTCATTCTGTCACAAGTTTCACACTGATGAATCAAGTTATTAACCTTGTAAGCCCTTATGTGTAGATCATCTATAAAATGTCATACTGATCCCAAAACATGTAGACAATTCCAATCATATCCAGCACATCATAAGCTAGTTTGTCTTGTTCTTTTTTTTTTTTTTTTCCCTCCTTCTTTGCTATTATTTTCCTTTCATTTTTGTTTTGTGTATGTGAGTGTGTTTTACTTTCCTTGCTTTTTCTAACTACATAGGTTTTATTTTATTGTAATTTTAATTTTTTTTTCTTCCCTGTCATTCCAACCTTATGCCCCTAACAAAATTACAGATTCTATGTCGCCGAGCCTTGCAGCATCTGGAAACAGTGGCAACGTAGCTTCATCAGGCATTGCAGCTTCTCAACTATCCATCCTTGTTGGTTTAGCAATTGCATTTCTCACAACACCCTTCTTCTGATTTGAATTTTTGGAGTTTTTTTTTTAACTTTATATTTGTTTCGATTTCTCCATTTATCTGGGGAGGGGGTATTGTAACCAGATATTGAATGGGTATGACCTAGTTACGCCAATAAACATGTAGCTTTTTTTAAAATTATTTTTTCATGGTTTTCTCTCTCATGGAGAAAGCGACCATTGTTTTGAAGCACGAACCATTTGCTAGCATTGTCCTGACAATTTCAAATTTTATATATACATATTTATGTGAACATCTAATCAGATTGGTGGGGGTGATTGAGGTTCTCACAGGTTGAGTCTGAAAAATGTTGAAGTTTCTCTATTGTACCAAATTTTATCTGGGCTGTGATTGAGGCCTCGAAAATGAGGCTCGAAATTGCCTCGAATGCAATTTTTTTTTTTTTTTTTTGGGCTAATACAATGCAAAAATAAATAAATAAAAAAAAATAATAATAATAACAAGCAAAGCATCAAAAAAAAAAAAAAAAAGAAGAAAATTTGAGCCAAATTTGAGCAAAAAAATTTGAGGCCTCAATCATTTTTGAATCTAATAATAATTAAAGGCATGCCTTATGTTTAGATAGTTCATACCATAGTGTTTTGATCAAAGATTTCAATGCTTCCATGTTCTAATGGGCTTCTAGGCTAGCAGTTATAATCCGCCAAAGATTTCAATGCTTCCATATTATTCTAATGGGCTTCTAGGCCAGCGGTTATCATCTGCCAGCCACATAAGAGCGGCACTTGTAGTGATTCTGTTTAACTAATATGTTTACAAGTTGTTACCTGTTGCAATTACCGCTTACCTGCTCTCCTTTCCCACCCTTAGGAACGGGTTGCATACACAAATGGGTAAATTAAACTGTACTCCTTTGAAGTTTAGAAAAACTATAATAAGCTGTATGTCATAATTATATCAGGTTTTCCTAAGGTGGCACAAGTACGTGAATAGAGGTGGCAATGGATAACTTACCCTGTGGGTATTCATGGAGACTCAACCCAAATATATAAGTTTTTTCTTTTTTTCTTATCTATTGGGTAGGATAAGTGATATTCTTTAAATATCCACAGGGGATGGGTTGGGGGATGGATGTCCACTAATTTCCTCATATGTTTTTTTTTTTTTTTAAGGATTCACAACCAAAACTAAATATACATTCAATCTTTTTTCTTTTATTTATTTATTTATTCTTTCAAATTAGCTGGATTATGAATCAATGGAGTTGAGTTAAGTTGAGTTCTTCTTTGCCAGAAGCTGAATTCAAAAAATTACACTCTGATTAAAGTGATTTGGTAAGAAATGAAGAGAGAGAGAGAGAGAGAAAGAGAGAGAGAGAGAGAGAGAGAGAGAGAGAGAGGCGGAACTCTTTTTGTTATGTATGGTTTATAATTTTGGATTTGTTGATTCTATATATATTTGGTTTTATGACTTTAAAATATCTGGCCATACATGTAAAATCAGGAAAACAGTTAAAATGTACGGGACCTTTATTAAGACCAGTTTCCATCATTCCCATTAAACTAGCATTGTAATTAAGAAAACGAGCGTCTCTTAAACAGAGTAAAACAGAAGTATTTTGTCCTATCATTGTTAATGGATTGACACCAATTTGTATTAAACCAATATGCATAAAATTGTAATATATGAATGTATTTGAAAATAAGGAAATTGTAGAGAATCGAAACAAGCATGAGTCGTGATTGGTTAGAAAGCATGGGTACAAAGATTTATTTGTTGGAAAAATAAAAAGGGAATACAAAGCCTTACTAAATTTTTTTTTAAAAATAAAAGAATTTTTCTTAGTTATGAACAGATTTAACTGAAATCAGCTTATTTCCCAATGTTATGCTTCATTTATTTAGATAGAAAATATTTTTTAATGAAAAATATTTTTTATAAAAAAAATTAAAAATATATTTTTTTATATTTGGTGGTGGTAGTGATTGAACGAAGGTAAAAGTAGAGATTGTGACATAGTGGTGGGGTGATGGCGGCAGTGATGATGGTAGTGGCTATGGTGATGGTAGTGTGATAGTGAAGGTGAGAATAGTGGTTATGGTGTTGTGAAATTAGTAAAAATTTAATTGAAAAAACATTTTTTGTTTTTTAAAAGTAACAAACAACAAAATTCGTGGGGACTAAAGGAAGAAGATGGAGGATGGATTGGGTGTGGTATGGCATAGATATCTTAAAATGAGTGGTTCAGATTTGTTAAAAGGTATAATTAGATTTTGGATAAATTAAAATGAATGGTTCAAATTTGCTAAGAGAAAAATGGTTTAATGTCTAAAATGTCCGTGACTAAGAGATCTACAAACAATTCCTAGTTTATGCCCTGATACAATTTAATATGGGTCTTATAACACTTTCTTTAGACAGGTTCTTTCACATTTTATTTTTTCAAACAGGCTCTTATAACATTGTAAACATGTTCTTATAACATGTAGGGGAGAGAGTGAGAGTGAGAGTGAGAGAGAGAAAGATGGTTGTAATTTTTTTTTTAATCTTCCACATTCTTCCACATTTTTTTTAATTACTAAAACTTATTTGATTGTCTCAAAATTATATATTTGATTATTATAAAACAAACTTTTTAATTAATTAATTAATGTGTATTTGATTTTTTTATTGAATAAAATAAAATAAAATAAGATTGAATGTATATTTAGCTTTTGTTGTGAACCTTTAAAAAAATGAAAATAAAATAAAATAAAAAAATAAGTTGTTAACATTAAATATATTAAAAAAGAAAGAAAAAAGATTGAAGGTATATTTAGCTAAAATCTTAAACCTTAAAAAAAAAAAAAAAAAAATAAATCCATTTTGATGAAACTTAAAAATTTTAAAAATTTACATTTTTTTTCATAATTAGGAAAAGTAATAATGCATTTAGGGAGTTGGGCCATAAAAAAAATGTAAGATGTTAAATTAAAAAAAAAATGGCTCTTATCGGGAGAGACAGGCCACCAGATATTATTGGCCCAAGGAAAATGTAAATCGGATGTTGGGGCCCATGAACCTTTAAAAAAAAAAAAAAAAAAAGGTTGTTGTTAATATTAAATATAAAAAATAAAAATGAGGATTAAAGTGGGTTGGAAAAAATCCAAACCTATTAAGAAATGGGGAGGGTGGTACCCATGGGGAATGGGAAAAATTTATTATAGGGGAATGAGAATGAAAAATTAATATCCACCCCATTAACCTCCATTGCCATCCCTATATGTGAACACTATAAGGCTTCTTATATTTTTTTTAAAACCTCGAGAGAGGTCAGTGTAATTTATCTTAAAATCACATTCTCCAAGAGAAATTTAGACCCATGAGATAAAAGAAAAATACTTGTAAGAAAAAGTATTTTTAAAAAATAAGAAGAAAGAACTTAACACTGGCCTCGTTTGGGAAGTTAGTTATTTTAGTTGACTATTTTAATAGGTTAAAATATATATATTTGAGAAGATAGTTGAATTTTTTTTGTAGTTGAATGTGATATTTGTGAAAAAAAAATTACAATGATTATGAATTTAATGTGACATTTTATCTTATTGACTATTTTAACTTATTGTTTTTTTTTTTTTATAAACTTTAACCCCCTAAACAAAAAAAAAAAAAAAAGAAAAAAAAACCCTTGCCAAAGAAGGCCAATAAAAAGTCTATCACCTCAAGGAATCAAGGAAATTGCTAGAGCGCCATTACCCAGCCTATTTTTTTATTTTTATTTTAGGTATAAAATTTGTTAGGTGTAAATATATATTTTTTTTGTATAGAACATATGTCGAAAACAATAGATAATTTTTATTTTTTATTTTTTTAGAATGTACTTTTTATTTATTTTAATCAAGAATGTTAATACCTAATAAAAGAATTTCACACAAGATCTACTTCAATAACAAATTCACACGTATCTCTGCAAGTCTCTCCCTCTAGGACTTCTATCCAAATAAAGATTCATATCTCTCTCTCTTCAAATTTAATTCAACTAACCCTCCTAATTCAACCTTGTCCCAATGTGTGCTATTCAACTTTCTCTCAAAGCTATATGTGATGTGATCTAACTTTTTTCTTGTACTCTTTGAGTTTTTATTTATTGTTAAGATAATAATATGAGTGTGGCAACTTAAAGTTTTAATTGCTCAATATTAGTTACACCAATGTTTATTAACATTTAATTTATGTTCACATTTTTATATTTTTACTATAGTATGTGATATAAATTGCTTGTTTACTATAGTATTAATATTTAATTATGAATTTATTTTTTTTCAATAGAAAGTTATACTCAAGAATTTAATTATGGTGATAAGTGTATTATTCGAACTTTTTGAATGAAAATTTTAACAAATCAATAAGAATTTATGTGTTTGATTGTCAGTCAAAATATCTTACTGTCTCATGAAGTCCATGAAATTTTTAATTAATTCGTGTTAATATAATTCTTTAAAAATCATATCATACTTTTAGTTGAACTTATATGTAAAACTTACAGTTTAATATTATTTTAACACATCCTTTAACATTTCCATTGCAACACTCTATATGCTCACTAAATTAACAAATCCTAAAACACAAAATTAGGCCTCCAATTTTATCACTTTTTATTTTATGCCATACATTTTAAATGACATTTCTAAGCCAATTAACCTAACCAGGCTTGTCAAAAAAAACCCAACCTCACTTTTACTGGGCCTTTTACAAACTACTTCTGGGCTCATTAAAATGAGGCCCATACAACACGGCCCATTAAACATTGAGTAAGCTTATACTCTATTAAGGGGTATCAGCCCAACTCATGTTTAGGGTTTTCTCTTTCTTTCACTAGAAATCCTTTTTCCTTCTTCTTCTTTTTTTTTTTTTTTTTTTTCTAAAAAAACGAAGTTGGTTAGCTCTTTGAAGTTACCAAGACTTACGTTAAATAATTGGGCAAATTATGCCATCTTTCTTGAGATTTAAGAAAAATACAGTAAACGTCACGATTTCATCATAATTTCGCTAACTTTCCTTTTAATAGGTTAAATGGACCGAAATAAAATATAAAAATAAACAACGTAAAATATACATTATGAAAATATTATTTTTTTTTATCCATATAACTAATAAATTATTGATGAAAAAAGAATTAAGTGTTATATGAATTAAATTCTCAAAAGAACTTAATATAATTATATCAAAATTATGAAATTTATTATATTTTCTTTAAGTTTCAAGAGAGATCAACATAATTTACTATCAATATTTTATATATAAAAACAGATACA